TTGATTTCGTAACGAAATGACTCGCAGTAGTTGATTTCGTAACGAAATGACTTTGTAGACTTGATTTCGTTACGAAATCATTCACCAGTCATGCGACACTTGGCGCCCCATATATACAATACAACATATACGTGGTTGTGATAACATCAATCACTTCCTCTCTCCCGCAGCAAGCTATACTATGAAGTTTGCCTCAGACGGCACTGCACGCCTAACACGGTGCGCGCGCATGCGCAATATCTCCTGACAGAAATCGTATTTTGCAAAGATTATGCATTTAAAATGAAGAGGAGTTATAACATACAAACATTAAGGCACAACTACAACATGAGTGTTGTAGGGTATACTTCACGCATATTTTTTAAAGCAATATAATATAGTTGAGTATTTTTTATTACGTTTTTATGGTAACCTCGGGTTTAACGAAAAAATCGATTACTTGTAATTTTGTTCACTAGGTGGCGACCTTGGAGTGTTTACTTCGGCTCGTAACAGTACCAGCTCGTACTCTGCAAACCCGCTCTGCAAACAGTGATGAAATTTCACATGTATGGTGCAATGCACAGACCGAAAAGCAAGTAGCAGTGCAAGCAAAGAGCAAAGGTACGTGCATTTTAGAATCTAACTTGAAGAGTATTTGACGTGGTGGTTGTTTAACAAGTACTAGTAGTAGTAGTCGTACAGAGCCGCGACGGCGCCGTAACTAAGTAAGGACTCTGGTGTTTGCCGTTTTACGCCAGCGGCAGTTAATGTAAGCGGGCTATTTAATATAGTACTAGAGCTACGTTATAATATAATACTAATAGTAGTATACGTAATACTAATACTAATGGTCATAGGGTCAGGGTCTATGTCCCCCAGGGTACTGCCGGAACGTACCCTGGTCACTATTTGATATGGTTAGGGTTAGGGAGTATGCGTAGGCGACTCCCTAGACTCGTTATAGTCACTTAGTGGAGTAGGCGAGGTACGGTCCGGCATATTAGATAGTACCAGGGTACGTTCCGGTATACCGAACCGTACCCGGGCCAGGGTACGTTCCGGCAGTACCTCGGGGGACATAGACCCTCTCAGCAATACTAATTGTATTACTATTAGTAAAAGTAATAGGCTACGTATAGTACTACGTAATACGTATAGTAATTACGTTAATATGAGTATGATGATTCTAATAAATAATTGTATTAATATATTATTATATTTTCAGATTGTGAAGGCTATCTTTCAGTTTCACTCAGAGCTTTCCTGTTTCCACTTAGATGAAAGATTACACTAAGGAAGTGCGAAGCACTTGAGCTGCATGGTTTATTCGAGTTATGTGCAAGTTATGGTGATGAGTCTGGCCGGGTTCAAGAGTAATGGAGTAAAATAGAAGCGTGATATCTTACATGTCTGTTCATCAAAACTAAAGTAAGGCTTTTAGCACAACCAGCTACTTTCTTGACGAGGAAGGGTTATGTTCAGAATTTATGACTATATCATTGCCTAACTTCAAAGTACAGCAATGGAGACCATTGAAAGTTACTGGCACAACTCGGTATCACAGCCTTTGCTAGAAGTGGAGCGCACACAGCTAAAGAACCATTTATTAGAGAAGCCTTGTCTACATACAAAGTTTCTGCGCTCAGTGCAGACTCTTGACCTCAAACCTCAGCTGAGTTCTAACATCCTTGGAACATCTGATATCCTTAACACAGCCATGAAGGCAAATGCACACAGTGGCTTAGCATCCCAAAATATCACAAGATCGGGGAAGCTGGTGAAACCATTGCGAGGCATAGCACAATCGACATGCACGACACAAAGTCTAAATCTCAAACCTCAACTTGAATTGAGCCTCTTGGAACCTGCATCTGGAAATGAAACTGTCACCCGAAAGCGAAAAGTTATGAATCGCCCAGAATCGAGGATGATCGTAAAGCGGTCCACTCTACACTTTGTGGAGAGCAAACTTATTTCTACAGAAAATAAACTGTTGAATGCATATGGTCTACAGAATAAACACGTTTCACCAGCACTGAAGACCAAGCAGATGTTATTGTGTTAGCGCATGCACAATATCTCACCACAGGAGTTATATTTTGTGATGATTATGATTTAATATGGTTATGGGGGATCTCAGCAAGCATAGAATTCTGTAATTAATTGCTATGGGTAGACCTGTGTTTATAATTAGGAGAGCGCCCTAGCCTGTAGGGTGCAAAACCCCTATACTTCATGCCCTCCCGCCTTTCTCCGTGCCTGTCTTGTCCTTCGCACAGCCTACTTCCTTTTCCACCGCCACTCAGCTATCTTCCCTGCTGCCTTTCCTCAGTCTCCCACTACTCTCTTACTCAGCAAACTATGTTATGCAGCTTTCCTCAGTCAGTAGGCCTACTGCACGCCTGAAACAATACACGCTCATGCGCAATGTCTCCCGAGAAGAAGAATATTTTGCGAAAATTATGCATTTATAATGGAGAGGAGGTATTCCAGCATAGATTTATCTGATAACATTCCGTCATTAGACCTAATTTAAGAAATAGGACGAAGACCTTGCATGTAAAGGCGCTCCATCGTCGGTCACCGTTGACTGCCATAAACGAGAATTTTATTCGGCCGTTTTTATACGTTGAAATTGGAGCGTGTATAATTCCCAGTATCTAGGTTGGTAATTTACTTTCTACTTGTTGTTTGGCTGTGGTCAAAATGAGACGCGCGTCTATCACTTGCCTTACCACCCGTATATACGTACCTATATATATTCAGTTATTTAGCGTACCCTCCCCACAAGGGGATATCTCCTTGTGGGGTGGGTATGCTAAATAACTGAATATAAGAGCCACGGTACGAGTTTCTGCAGTTTGGGTAAAATTGTTATTGGTTATGATTACACTCACTCACTCTCTCTCTCTCTCTCTCTCTCTCTCTCTCTCTCTCTCTCTCTCACACACGCGCGCTCTCTCTCTCTCTCTCTCTCTCTCAATCCCTCTCACTGTCTATCACAATCTCTCACTGTCTATCACAATCTCTCTCTGTCTCTCTGTCTCTCTCTCTCTCTCTCTCTCTCTCGCACGCGCTCTCTCCCTCTCTGGATCCGCGGAAATCCGCGGATTTGACAGTCCCAGGGGTCGATTTTGTGAAACGTCTAAATTCGTTGAGAAAATTGGGGGGAGGGGGGTAACAATGTAAAAATTTAAATTATAATACCCTCAACAGCACCTAACTGTAGAGTGTAGACAGTAGACTGACAGCGAAGTATACAGTGTATCTGTTTTTGTGTACCAGAAAAGAAAATCGTTGTTCACAGGCTGCAGTAGAGGGGCACGTAACGACCATGCCTGGCCTGGGGGCCGGGTTTACATGTTGCTGTGTGCATGTTCTGTGCATGACTATGCACTGATTGTTTCATTCGCATTGTGTGTTTTTTCATTCAAATCTCGTTGCAGCAAGGCAGCTAAGTTTATGTCTGAATAAAACAATGCAAGCGACGGGTGGAAACAGAAAAATATCATTATGTCTAGACATTTAATAAAAAAAACTTGTCCTATTTTCTGCATATCTGCATATCTGCGCCTAACAAAGGTGTCAATATGCATGACTTAAATGTTATGTTTATAACCGTAGCAACAGACCTCAGATGAGCCCAGATGCTCTGCGGCTCTTGTTTAATAATCTCATAGTGATGAACTAGATATGTTTATTGTGCAGTCATTTAGATCATTTTCATTGCAGTTGGCTCTGTACAGCAGGTGTGTGCTTAATCAGCGGTCAGTAGCTAACTTCCTGTTAGCTTATGGTTCATGTAACAGGGCTTGCAGACCATTCCTAAAGAAATACTATAAGGCTTCTATTCGTCTGCCATCAGATTGGTTAAATGTGGCTGAACAATGTCAAGTATGTATGTGCACAATAAATAGGAAGTTGAATGGAGATTTGATTAAATATAATTAGTTAAATTGTAATTAGTAATGGAGTTTGCACAAGTAGTATGAACATGTTTTCTATAGAAGTGCTGATAAATGGTGTATGATAGAAACCTCCCCCTTAGACATGTTAGCGTATCATTAACACACTAATTTAATCACAATTGTCGGCTTTTTTGCTATTGGTCAAGCATCTGAATGATACATATTAATCTTATCTTAGCAGTAATGATACTAATACCATTTGTCCTTAAAAGGTATTCGGTGAAGAAGGCTTGACTTCTGTAGCTCTACCATCTGCACTGAGAAAGGTCATGGCCACAAAGTTTTCTGACTTTGATGCTTATCAGCTAGGTATGTGCTAAGTATGCATGTATGTAAACCTAAAAACGTATTTTGTATAGCGATTTTTGTGGAAACATCTATTGTATGGTGTGCAATGTAGTGCACTTTTCTCATATCGTAGTTACCTTTACCAGTGATGTTAATATAACCACTGAAAATATAAATATGAATATATGTATATAAATATAACCATGGGGATGTTGATGGTTTATTTTATAGACGATTTGTGTGCAGTTTCTCATCCACGATTTTCATCAATGTTATATAGCATTGATATATGTAGTATGGGTCAGTTATACAGTATATGCCATGTTACTGATTTGGCATTAATGCAATTTCCTCTGATCTATATATTATCAGCTAAATATAACAAGGGAAAAAAGAAGAAAAAGAAGAAGAAGGGAAAGAAAACATCAAGACCCGAAGATCTTGTAGAGACAGGAGAATCCGTAGAAGAAACAAAGCGGAAGAAAACATTCAATCTAAAACAAATGATTCGAGCTCTACACTTGTGTGAGCCTGTGGAACATGTTATGTGCATAATTGGGAAAAGGTATTTGGAAAAAAATTCAAGCACCTAATGTTATGTGCCTTTTACATATATATCAGGAGTAGATAATAGGGAAGGAGTGTGACATCAATAAACAAGGGAAATTCATCATTTACTAGCCTTATAATACCTACGATTTACTACGCGTAACTCATCCAACTTGAGCTCAAATCGTAGCAGCAGTAGCAGTTCCCTAAGCATTGGTGCGAAATCGTTTCGTCGTTTACACAAGCAAATCCGGAGATACAGACTAAAAACGTACGACACGACTTTGCTATTTCTTTGGCCATCAATCCAAGTGCACTGCCCGCCTCTATTAAAACAAAGGCAGCTATACTGACGCGCTGTTGCTGTGCTTGCTCATCGGAATGTGGAATGTGGCGTGTGGCTCGCGGGGAGATTGGACATCGGCGAACCATAGACGCAACGGCGATGTACTGTAGCCTGTATGCTGTAGCCTGTAGCCGTGCAGCGACGGGCTAATCTCCCGCGAGCCACACCGCCCACTTATTCCACATTCCAGAATAGCAAGCACAGCAAACAGCGCGTCAGTATAGCTGCCTTTTGGTTTAATAGAGGCGGGCAATTCACTTGGATTGATGGCCAAAGAATGGAAAGTCGTGTCGTACGTTTTAGTCTGTATCTCGCGGATTGCTTGTGTAAACGAGGAAACGATTTCGCACGATGTTAGGCGAATGTACTGTGTACGATTTGAGCTCAAGTTGGATGAGTTACAGCGTAGTAAATCGTTAGGTATTATAAGGCTAGTAAATGACGAATTTCTCTTGTTTATTGATGTCACACTCCTTCCCTATTATCTACTCTGATATATATGTAACCAGGAGTGTATCAAAAGGAGTAAGACAGACTGAACCGGCAAAATTCAACATTTAGTAGCCTTAGTCTACCTATGATTTATTGTGTTTACCTCGATAAATTGAGCTCAAGTCTTGCCTTAATCATTAAACTTTATCCGTGTCTAATCGTTGGTCTCACAAAAAATGACAAAATCGGAGAATATCGGTCCAAACGTACAATGTGGTTTTAGAAAGTTATATCGTGAAATAACAACTTGTGAACCGAAACATAAGGGCAATGCTTTTGAAAGCCCTCTATCGCTTAGCAATGCAAACATAGCAAAGAACTAGCGAGGTTGCTAGGGATTTCGAAAGTTAAAACACACTTGGTGTTATTGATACTATTTACATTAGAAATAAAATATTTCACATGTTTAGTATTTTTACCATTTATTTGTTTTAACAATATGTTCATAACATGTAATTACTGTCATTCGACATGGCCGTATAATAACAACAAGGCGTTTTTAACTTTCCGAAATCCCTAGCAAACCTCGCTAGTTCTTTGCTATGTTTGCATTGCTAAGCGATAGAGGCTTTCAAAAAGCATTGCCCTTATGTTTCCGGTTCACAGTTGTTGATTTCACGATATAACTTTCTAAAACCATGTACGTTTGGACCGATATCTCCCGATTTGTCATTTTTGTGAGACCAACGATTAGACACGGATAAAGTTTAAATGATTAAGGCAAGACTTGAGCTCAAGTTTATCGAGGTAAACACAATAAAATCATAGGTAGACTAAGGCTACTAAATGTTGAATTTTGCCGGTTTCAGTCTGTCTTACTCCTTTTGATACACTCCTGATGTAACCTATGTGCCTTTTACATATAATATCAATAGTTTTTTCCTGAAAGATCACACCATCAACTGTTAGCAGTATAGCATCATTTCATATTTCCCAGGTAGTTTATCACAATAAAAATGTTTTTATACGGTATCCAGGTGTAGTCTACTTCAATAGAAAAGCATTAACTGAAAAATTATTGCTAAATTTGTTTCGCAGCTTAATGACCTGTGTATTTGTAGTTATATTAGCAGATAATGTTTAATTGAAGTTGGAATTGGCTGCAACAAACCACAAACAACTCTTACAGATAAGTTTATTGTCATTGTCCTTGATGATTTACAACTAGTAGATCATGGAAAAGCAGATTAGAGAATCAGTTAAAATTGTCATCATCATAAAGAGCGTGCATTTTTTCATTTTTGATTGCAGATATCCGGATAACTGGGATAAATTCATCATTAGTAAGCTACCGGGCACATACGACGAAACCCGAGCAGGGAAGAGAATGAAATTACCAGTTCCCGAAACCTGGGAGACACAGATATCTGCGCGTGGCAACAAGGCTGTTGTGTGGGAGACGCTGATAGGTGCGTGTGAAACGTGTGGAAGGGCTTATGCTGTCTTACTAACATACATTACAGAGCATTATCACAGGAACTTTCACGTTTTCAGACGAAATTATCTGACTTTTAAAAGTAATCGGTTTTTGATAAGGACATACCTTTCATGTGCTTTCACCAGGTGCCCTTAAGCCACCTGGTTTTATAAACCAATCAAATTTCTGTAGGCACACTTGACCATTCAGTGATAATTCTGTGAAACGTGATCAATCTGCTTACGTTATCGTGGAAAAGTTTTTTAATTGCATCCAGCTACTCTTGGATTTGCTGACAAAGTACCGTGAGAATGCCAAGAATGGGCGAGTAGTATGTATCTTAGCTGCTTGATATCACCTCGTTTGTGTTATATATTCCTGTAAAGAGTAAGTAAGTATGTAAGTATTCCTGTAAGTATTCTTTCTGCTCGTGTCGCTTTTGATCAGTGCACGTGAAGTTGCCACAGTTGCGGACTACATGTTGTGTGCGACGGAGAGATTGCATGCTCGCATCAGAATGAATGCACGTACATTTCACACAGACAAAAAGAAGCTGCCGTTCATGGCGATGCTACGCAACCTGAGGAACATGATACAGGTGGGTGTGTCCGACAAGCACCACGCGTGTATCATCAGGAAGCTAACCGATCCGCAGACGGTGATCCACAGTCGGCAGTTTCCATTCCGCTTCTTCTCGGCCTACGATGCTCTGCAAGACTTGGAAAATCAACTCGAGAATCAAGGTATCACTCAGTGCGTCTTGCAGGCTGTTGGTCTCATGTAGTGTAAACACTAGACATTCTTTTATGACTTGGCCATGTTAGTGAATATCCTATCACAAGTTTACTTGGGGGTGGTGCAGCTGATAAGTAGTCACAGCTCATAGGGAGTTGCCTTACCATTATGTGTTACTAATATGTTCATAATCAGATCTGTTAGAGGTTCTTAGTTTTAACTCGCCATAGATGGCAGTGTTGAAATGTATCTTTTCAGTTGATTCAGTACATTTGATAATTCTATGATTATGTTGTGAATGAGGGTGAACATTACAATCTTTGTTGACAGAACATTACAATAGTACTCTTTGTTGACAGAATCTGCTTCTGCTGTTGAAGTACAGTATAAACAAGTAAAGAGTGCGAAAAGAAAGCAGGGCACTCAGAAAAAGGGTGCAGGAAATGTAGGAAGAGGAGGAGCAAAAGGACAACCAGGAGCCAAAAAACATGGTACGACCAAATCACAGCCGTGGTACATCAACAATGGGCAGCAAGAAAAAATGAGGTATATTATAATGTCATAAATTAGTGTTGCCTTATTTAAGGGTATTAATGTCTAGGACTTATAAGATTTATCATGTGATAGGAAAGCCATGTTTACATAATTTAAATATCATAATGCGTAAAACTTTGAATTTCTGGTAATATGCAGTGATAGTGATTTCTGTAACTTCTCAATTTATTATCATCTCAATACTAGTGATGCAGAGAGTTGGTCCACAGTCTGTCAGTGTCTTTCACAGTCAGAGCCAGCTCGTAGAAATGAGTGTCTGGCTGTCTATCCTTCAGCAATATGGGTACAAATCTGAACAGCTTGAAGTACGGTCTTGAAATTCGGGACTTAGGGGTGCAATCCGAAACCACATTAGAAGCCTGATTCTGTGGATTAAGGGTCAAATGTCACAACGTGTAAAGGGAGCGGAATGTTCTCCTTTTACCTTAAGGTATAGGACCGGCATTGTGGAACAGAAGAATCTTTGGTACAATGTAATAGGCTTGACCTATAATATGATATTCAGTGTACAGAGTCAGGGTCCGAGAAGCCCAGGTCGCAGTGGTGGTCAAGGTCAAAGGGCAGTGAAGCCGAGGATGGATTTCCAACATTTTTGGAAGACAGTCCAGCGGACCAAGTAGAAATTGTTTTGTTACAGGGATGAACTACCGTTTTTATGACTTAATTGAAAGGACTGAAATACACTTTCTACCAGTATATTTTCCACGAATGTACTGTGACCTTTTAACCCTCAAGAATAGGGGTGAACATTACTTATGTATTAAAATGGACTGAAATGCTTTTGTTAGCTACTTCTGTCAATGTGGAAGGCTATAATTTCACTAAACAGGTTAAACTCAGTTAAACGAGGTTTCAGCTCCTTAACTTATATTCTCTGCTACCTGTACTCGTGCAGTCTTATGGCAGATACATGGTATGGGATACTACCATATTCGGCAATGTGTAACAGCAGTAAGGCTCGATACAGTGTAGTCTGTGTTACAATGCAGAAATACGCTAGCGCAGCATTATAGCAACTATAGCAACATAAGGCTTCTGAATGTAATCTGGCACTCTGAAATCAAACCCAACACAGCGTATTTGACCAAATTGGCCCACTTTTTGGAAAGTAATTAAACATTTTTAACAACCCAATGCAAAATGCTGCAGTCATTATCAGAGCATTGGCACTGCCAGTGATCTCTGTGGCATAACCTGGTTCCTATAACAGTTGGTGGTTAATTCTTAGAATCTTTGTAAGCCAGGTTTGAAACCCACACGTGTTTTCTTTTACATTTTTTGCTAATGTATTTTAATCTTGATAGTTGTGCAACAATACTCCTATAATTTCTAAGGACTAAAATACTCATAAGTGTCCACTGTGAATTGTAATGTAAACGATGAAATTCATTTATAGATAGGATCTTCTAACTTCTCCCTTTATCACTATGCCTCATCCTCCTCTTCTACGTCTTCCTTCCTTTATCTTCTGAATTCTGCATAATCTACCTCCTCTGTCCTCTTTCTCTATTTGACCCTCATGCTCCACTTTCTCCTATCATTGCTAACTCCATCAGTAAACTCACTGTGTTAGAATTGCACCATTGTAACAGCATATCACGGGGTCACATTAGTGCAACTCCCACTGAATAAAATTTTTTATAGCTGATCGAGACGTGAAATTCATGAAATTCATTCTATTGTATTTCGTTAATGCTAAACGATTTCAACTGTGACTTTCCAACTTTCCTCTCCTTGCTCCACCACTGGCACACACGGTTGGATGAGCACTAGCTGTCGTTCCGCTGCAATTGTTGTTTATAGTTCTTCCTACAGATTTATTGTATATAAACTGTTATACTTCAATTGTTTGACAACCTTGTTGTTCGTAAATGAAGTGCAATTAGGTTTGTTATTTATCTCAAAAATTTGTGTGATAAATTGCTCTCAGACCATGTCCTTCCACAGACAGTATTGGTGTAGACAACCCCTCTCCTGCAAATTTGATAAATTAACTGACGTTTGTTTTTCGATAGGGTATTCTTCTGCATCCGTCATTAGGCTACTCGTTTTATCGTTTCAGTACAATAGTTTACTCGGACGTTATTCTAATATTTTGGTAGTTATTACATGCAAGTAATTTAAATGTTCATGCGATTTATAGTAGGCGTGTGCAATACGATAGTGCGCTGATCAATCGCTATCGTAAAGCCTTGGATACTGCTGTCAAAATTGCAACCGTCTACAACACGGATCCTATTCCTGGAAGCACTATAATTTTCTGTGACCTTGGACCAGGCATGGATGTCCCAGCTATGGCAGCAAAGGGTCTTGGTAAAACGAAGACGGTAAGTAAATGCTTTTCTGCAGTGACTGATATAATGTAGTTTTATCTATAATCGCTGGGTGAACAATATAAGTGGCTATGATGTAACCTACCGTGTTGAATTAGGGCTTAAAATATTTGAAAAAAAAAATTGTAAATGTGGAGTAGCTAGCCATTATGTTTGTAAAACGACGATATATTTAGTGTAATATGTTAATAAACATATGGAATGATATATTGATATTTATACTTTTTGTACCTATGTCAACCAAGCGAATTTATGATATAAAGTACAATAATATAATTGCTTTCTGCATCCACACAATGGCTGATATAATCGTCTTAATATATTGACTACCCGTGTATTTTGTTTAGTTTGCTACATTAGCTGTCCTACTTGGGCTGATGTGTAAATATGCAAGTGAGCAAGGACAGATGGTTGTGTATGGAGCAGCTAATAGTGTTGAAGTTGAACTGAAGGAAGGTTCCATCCTAGACAACGTAAACCGGATCCTTAAGCTCGCAGATGTATGTGTATATGTCTTTTAGTTGTTATAGAATGTCTATGTCAATTTTGTGTTTGCGTGCGCATGCGTGCGTGCGTGCGTGCGTGCGTGTGTGCGCTCATACTTGGTTATCTACGGTGCCAAATTCCTTCAATTATGAGTATGTTTGTTGTTTCATACTGTATTGCACCATACTGTAAAGCACGCATTTATCATTCTAATTCATTATTTTAGTTTTCCAGACTAGCATCCTTCTGTGATGTTTGAAGTGTATTTCTGTCTTTAGTGGCTGAACTGTGGACCACCTTCAGTGGGAGCCTTTCCATGCAAGGTCTTGCATGATCTGATCGGGGACAGAAAGCAGGTAGGTTCAAAACTTATTTGCTTTTGTTTAGTGATGCAGGAATTTTCACTGTGCTGCACGAATTGATTCCTCTACTGTGTATATTGTGTGTGTGCGCGTGTGTGTGTGCGTGCGTGCGTGCGTGCGTGCGTGCGTGTGTATATTGTGTGTGTGTGTGCGTTCGTGTGTATTCTAGGATTTTATATAGTAGAGTATATCCTTTCGATTAATAAATGTAGTGATCTCCCGGCCAACGTTAGATTTAGTCCCACACGGAAGATTAAAAATTGGTGCAAGCGTAGTGCACATTTGAAGCATTCATCCCACTTAGTTTGGTTTTGTTATTTATAGTGCAACATAAACTAACATAACTAAAAAAACTTTGTGTATTTCGTCATGGTGTCACACGCCTAGATTTGAGGCTTCAACACATAATTCCCTTGTTGTTACTGAGTCACATTAATTCAATCCCCATCAATTTTAATGAAAATTGCAAAATAACAAATCTAGACTAGTAAACATGGTGATATAATTATAACTTATTATAATTATTTGATATTTAAAAAGCTGCATGACAAACTTACACAGGCTTGCAGAACAATAATATATGGGTTACATTCTAAGGCAGTGACATTTCTATATATATATTAATGCATAGACCTGATGAACAACAATCATCTTTCAAAAATCAAACCCATCTTTTCCGATAGTGTGTCTCTATGTCTGTTTGTATGTATCTGTCTGTCTTCTTCCCCCACCCCCACCTCTCTCACAGACACGCACGCATGCCCGCACGCACATACACACATAGTGTGTGCGTGCCTGTCTATACATTGGTTACACATTCAGTAATAATATTGCATAGGAGCAAGAGACGGGTCAATACTACGTTTGACCAATAACATCAATTTACTGGGGAGTTTCTCAAACCCACCAAGCTATAATGTCGCCCCAAAAAACGGGCTAAAATTAGTTCTACTAGGTAGAAGTATGGCTCAGCAGGTGAAGTTTAAATTAATGCTTTTCTGCTAGGAGTCGACCATAAAATATTGACTAAAACTATTTCATTGTGTGCAACGGTCTACACCAGCCAGAAAGCATTACATTGATCTATATATATATATATATGATATATATATATATATATTTATTTATTTATGGTTAAAGACTGCTAATGCATGAATATTAACTTTACACGAATCGACAGTTCCAAAAGATTTATCGCCCGAAATGGGTTGAACATGTTCACCATTTACATCAAGAGTGTTCTGTATAAAAATAATTATGTAAGACACCCAGTCCATAACTATACTATATACATATTGTCATTGCTCACTTCTTCATACATGCATGCATATGTGACGTTTGTAATATGTGTAAAACTGGCTACGTATTGCAGTACATGCTAAGTTCCGCCCTCAGTTTAAGGCACTTTCAAATGTCGGGCAGTTCATCACAATGCTGTGTTGGCTATGTGGTCGTTTTCCTCGCCCGCTATCGTCTCGTAGGGTATATAGTGATACACGTGCCCTCCGTTTCTCTCCTCGTCAGCATCACTTGGCGTCAAGTAGACATCGCCACCTCCAACGGCACCCGGCTCTTTCCAGGTCATCGGCGGCGACTCACCTTCCGGGTGGTCGCGGCGAGGGCGGGGCATGGGTGGCGTCGGCTGACTGTTCTCCATCGTCAGGTACTTACTGCTGCTTGGTGGGAGCTGGCTCGGGTTGAGCGTCAGCTCTTTGGGTTTCGGCAGCGGCACGGGCGCGCGTTTGTCGTAGTCCGGGAGCCCGTCGTGCGGCGGCGGCTCGAAGCGTCGCGGGCTGTCGTCAGGCGGTGGCTCGGTTGGCGGGGGCGGCTTCGGGCCGTACTGGTTGTAGCGCTTGCTGCCCGTCGTGTGGAAGAAACTGTCGTCGCGCTGCGGCAGCGAGGGTGGCACGGGCGGCAGCGGGCCGCCGCGCTTCTCGGATTTGCCCGACCGCTGGCTGTAGCCGCTGACGTTGCTGACGTTTGCCGACCCTTGACCGTTCATGTTGTCCATTACCATTGTGGCCGTAGTTCTCCGGCTGGGCAGCCCTACGTCACTCATCGCTAGGTTGGAGTGAGTCGTCCTCCTGCTCTCCCAGTCCTCCGGCCAGGTGGACTCTATCGGTCGACTGACCTCTATTTTTCCCTTGGCACGTTCCAGCAGCACTCTGTCCTTGTAGTATCTCATCAGGCACACGATAACGACGAAGGCAATGAGCAGCAGGGAGGCGAGGATGCCAATGATGATGCCCATCGCCAGGGCGGTGCTGTCCGGTGTCTTGATTTCATCACACTTCTCCAAACGTGGGCTGCCCTCGGTCCCGTTCATGGAGCGTTCAACGGTGCATACCTCGTACACTGTCCCCGGCGATAAATTGTAGATGGTGTGGTGTCTGATGTCTTCGTGCAAGACCAGGCTCTTTGTCCTAGGAAGCAAATGCATCGTGATATTTATATTCATTGGCGTTATTATGCCATCTCATTCAACCTCTGTTAGTGTGTTTGTATGGCAGCTCGTTTCTTTATCTATGTGTCTATCGCCTCGTCTACACGACGAACCTTAACTCGAGTTAAGCGTCTACGCGGGGCCTTAACTCGAGTTAGCGTTAACTCGAGTTAGCGTTAACTCGAGTTAGCTTAACCTCGCCAGTCGATCGAGGTTAAGCTAACTTGAGTTCCATGAAGACGCTTAACTCGAGTTAGCGAATAGTACATAACTCCACGATAGGCGGCAACACTAGTACGATGTACGTACACACGCACGCACGCACGCACGCATGCACGCACGTGTACGTGCACACGCACGCACGCACGCACGCACGTCTACGTGCACATGCATGCCGGCACGCACGCACGTGTACCTGCACACACACGCACGTACGCACGCACGCACGCTTGCACACACGTGTACCTGCACAAGCACGTACGCATGCACGAGCGTGTACCTGTACTCGCGCGCACGCACGCACGCACGTACGTGTACGTGCACACACACGGACGCACGCACGCATGCACACACGTGTGCGTGCACACGCACGCATGCACGCACGTGTAGGTACACACGCATGCACGCACGTGTACGTGCACACGCACGCACGCACGCACGCACGCACGCACGTCTACGTGCACATGCACACGCGCGCACACACGCACACACGCACGCACGTGTACGTGCACATGCACGCACGCACGCACTCACGCATGCACGCACGTGTACGTGCACACGCACGCACGCACGCACGAACGCACGTGTACGTACACACGCACGCACGCACGCACGCACGCACACACCCACGTCTACGTGCACATGCACACGCGCGCACACACGCACGCACGTGTACATGCACACACACGCACGCACGTGTACGTGCACACACACGGACGCACGCACGCACGCACGCACGAACGCACGTGTACGTACACGCACGCATGCACGCAAACACGCACGTCTACGTGCACATGCACACGCGCGCACACACGCACGCACGCACGTGTACGTGCACACACACGCACGCAAGCACGCACGTGTACGTGCACACACACGCACGTACGCATGCACGCACACATGCACACACGTGTACCTTCACAAGTACCCACGCACGCCCACGAACGTGTACCTGCACACGCGCGCACACACGCACGCGCACGCACGCACGCACGCACGCACGTGTACGTGCACACACACGCACGCATGTGTACGTGCACACGCACGCATGCACGCACGTGTAAGTACACACGCACGGACGCACGTGTACGTGCACATGCACGCATGCACGCACATGTACGTACACACGCACGCACTCACGCATGCACGCACGTGTACGTGCACACGCACGCACGTTTACATACACACGCACGCACGCATGCATAATAAATCGGTAATAATCGCTATCGGGTGTTGTCGTGTAGACGCTACATAACGCTTAACTCGCTTAACTCGAGTTAATGTTCGTCGTGTAGATGAGGCTTATGTGCATTATGGCTGTCACGGTATCTGAACCATACCATACGTTCATTGTATAGGTGACTCTAAGGTTTTTGAGATTAGTATTTAGACTGAAATTTGCAGAACTAAAACCATGTGACTATTGTTTAGAATTTGTGAGTACTCATCGTTCATCAAGTTATCATCTCACCATACTCTTCAATGCCATTAACCTTTAAAAATTGCTAATGGGCAATGTGCCTAAATATATCCCATTTTCGATTAAACCGAAAATCAGTTAACCTTGTTTTGTGCTTTTAACCAGCATAGCTAATGTCCTTTTGAATAAGGATTCTGGATTATATTTAGTTTTAATAATGCGTAATTGTATCCCCCGCGACGAAGTTGGCGGGGATACTATGGTTTCATGTCTGTCCAGCCGCCGTCGCTCGATCCGCCGCAGAGAATTTCTCTTCCGCTCTATAACTCGACCCCTAATTGACTTAGCGCGACCAAACTTCGTATACTTACACATCTTGGGGAGAAAGTGTGCAGAGTACCAAAACCAGGTCATTGCGACCTTTATTTGACCTTTACCTTAACCTTGATCATATTTTTCTTCTGCTCTATAACTCGGCCCCTAATTGACCTAGCGCTACCAAACTTGATATACTTACACATCTTGGGGAGAAGGTGCGCAGCGTACCAAAACCCCTAAAGCAACCAATTCTGACATACTTGCACATCTCAGGCAGATGAGTTGTGTAACAAACCTTTGTCTTTGTGGCTTATTTAACTTTACCTATCTTCTACGTCCTTACAGAGATATTTCATTCATACTAGATCACGGGGGATACATGTAGTTGGCGACAACACACAGCTTACACTTACAAGCACATGTAGCAGAGAGAGCGAGAATCTCGTGGAATCTCGTACGCTCTCGTGCGCGTCATAACGTTACATCGTTACATGCCCTTTCTAGTTATTTTTATGTGAAAGATTCTATTATACTCAACAAATGTATTCATATTAAGCCATTTCATTGACCAACTAATCTTTTTTTTTACAATTTCCTAACTATAAAATTAAGCTATACGAACCATTGGTCACTGCGGTCAATCCCTACTCGCCTCCAATATACTCTAAATCCATGTATCTTGTCGTACGCTCGGCATACGACCCACTCTAGCGACACACTCTTTGTTGTGACGTCATGAGTGTTTAGCGCAATCCTAGCTGCTGCCGTATCACATATAGTACTCAGGTTGAGATGCGAACCAGAAACGTCCGCGTCTGGGGGATTATTCTTATTGTGAGAGTGGTCTCCGGCAGTCATGCCCATAGATACTGCCAGAACGAGCAGCGCCGCAAGAACGGCGAACTGTCTTGTTGGCAGGCTCATGATGAACGATGAGGGTTGCATAACTCTGAAAAGAAAACGGACGAATTAGTTGTCATATCGGAGCGGATACTTGCACTAAACATTTCTTTAGTTTTTCTGTTAGGTTTACATTCCGTGTTGGTAATTTCGTGCGACTAAAACTGCAAAAGATGGTTTGTTTTTATCAAATGGCAAGATAATTCGAATAAAATATAATAGTCAATTTCGACATAAAATATATGAAGACAGTAGTCAATTTGATTAATAATTGAACAGCTTTATCATAGCACTAAGGTGATCAAGTTCAACATGTAAGTTGTATAAACATTAATGAGTTCTGTGTACACATGGATGTAGTATGTGTTTAATACAGAGGCAGTTCCTGTTAAGTTAGTAGTAGGCAGTTAGCTAGTATTGCAATTGAAGAGCAAAAGGCACAATTTCGTATTACTGCAGAGGACGAAACATTTACAGCGAGCAACATTTACAGCCTACAAGGGTTAGTCTGCTGCCTGCTCTCAATGTAGGCAGCTAATACTTGCTGCCAAGAAATTCTTAAAAACCTATATAAAATAACCAACATTACGGGTACTTTCTAAACGAACCGATGGCCAGTTGTTCGTGATTGCTTCTTTCATATCGCGTTGAGCCTACGTTACTGTCCGTGGTTTATTCAAGGTGTAACTTGGGCTAGGCACGGGTTAGTATATTTATAATCAGCCAAGAAGGTAAACCAGGGCTAGATAGGACACCAAACTAGCTTCCTTATGGACAGAGGCAGTCGGGCAATACTGTTTGGGTGGGAGGGAACTTGTTATAGATGAAACGAGGTTATATATTCCACGTAACAGGTTTTATTATAGCAGTTGCGAAATTTTATAGCTTGGGTATATATGCGCGGAAAACATATCCGTTAAAAACGGCTGGATCATTAATATAAGCTTGCTTAGCACCAGTTTATTACTGAATTTTATTTATCGGTTAACCGTGAATAAGGTGTTGCCCTAAAACTACAGTAAACAAATATTTGGATATAATGCATAGTGTGAATCTTCGAATTTAAAATTGAATTTCAATAAGTTTGAATTTCAATTTTGAATTTTCTTAGCTGACTATAATGTCATGGGTAGGTTAATATCCACTTATCCACTCAGGTTAATATCCACCGAACAAAATTTCAAATTAGCAAATGATCAAATAAGGGTATTGCCGGACGCACACACACACACGCACACACACCTAGTGAATATGCACGGTAATCTACCTTTGTGAACGAATTTGGTTCACTTTACGGTTCGTCTGCTGGTCAGTGAGGTCGACAATGACGCGGTAAGGCGCGTCATTACACATGATGACTGTTTCGGCGCGCCCGCTATTCAAACTCACCTGTTGTTCCGTCCCTGCTGCTTGTCAGCTCGTATCAGTAGCGCTCCGCGTCGGCACTGGCTGATTATTACGCACGTATCCGATCACAAAAATAACACGTCTCTACACTCTGCTTATAGTTAACTGAGGTGCGGTGGTGTCACATCGTGGGATTTCGCAGTATGTTATTGCACACGAAGTATATGTGTCGCACACAGACACACACGTACGGTCACGTCATGGTCGCGGTGCGTACGTGGGTATACTGCTCGTATAGCTGCTCGTATAACTGCTCGTTAGCTCCAGCTCCAGCTCTCAGCTCTCAGCTCTCAGCTCTCCGCACGCCAGACTGTTCAGGTGCCACCTTGCTCGATGGTTGGTTACTCAGCGCTGGAAATAGCCGCGTTCCGCACCGCTTGTTTGGTTACCTTCAATTCGCTCAATACATAATACATGCGTACCTGCATTAGGTGGATGACATCATCACCTGCACCGCGGTTAATTGGACGCTGTTCCGCGTAAGTCACGCAGCGTCCGTGAGCGCGCGAGTGTGAGTGTGAGTGTGACTGTATATGTCGTGACAAGCCTCGCTCCGGCGGTCGGCTCCACCCCCGTACGTCGTCGTCTATCTTCGCTCTGACACTGGTTTAAATTCCACACTACCTATCCGGGTCGCCCTCATTGTGAGATGAGCGTTCCGGTATACGTCATGCAGCGCCCGAGGGCAGGGCATTCTATTCCGGTCTGTAGAACGACGCCCCCCACCCCCACCTCACCTCACCCCACCAGCGCACCTGTGCCTTATATGGAAGGCGGCCGGTCCCTGTTTAGTCAGGTGTGACTCCGATGCGGACTGCTGGTACATAACAAGGGTTTACAGCCAGGAGGGGTGCGCTGTGTTACTGGTTGCTAGGCACTTTTTCGCTCGCGTTCGATCCACACATCGCGGTTCACATCGATCTGTGTGCAGCCTCATGTCCGCATAATTGGACAGGTAGCTGTGTATTTCCTACCTGCACGCGTGAAGCTATAATGAAGTTGTTCGTGCAAATATTACCGCAGGGCATTAACATGCTCAGGAAAAAATATGATTGCGCATTTTTTCAGCAATCGCGATTTCTACTCTTATTGTCGGGGTTTTGATATTGAGCAAATAGGATTACGCAATATAAACTTGGGAAATCAACCGGGTGTGTCGCGTGTGTGTAACGCGTATATGCTCCGCTAGATAAACTAATATGTGCTGTAAACGAGTAGGATGCACGCGAGAGTGAACTACAGCCAGACGTTGGCAAGAGGAATAACAATTTAAAAATATGTCTAGTCACCACCGTTCGCAACGAATATTTGGCGTGCTAATAAAACGGGCAATGCGGTGGAGTTGGATTACTGTATACTGAAAGTGTTAGCTATAATAGAAATAATGACATACGTGGCTTTAGGCTATGATTATCCGGGGTTTGCATATAATATGATCTGGCTGTAATTAGTCATATTCTCGATTTGTTAATAATATTTAGAAGACCAAACGGTCGCGAATATATGCAATTTCCAAATTTCCAAATCCCAGGGTCGACGCGGGCCACTTCGAATCACGAGAAATCTATCTGGTATTTCGCAGTTCGCACATAACTAAAGTGCTCCAACCCAGCGCGCCGAAAATACTGTTGGTGTGTTCTCCACCTATCAAATTCCTGCCGACAGTACACCTTCTAATAGAGAAATGTAATAATAGAGTCGAGCACGCATCGGTATTGGTTAGAGTATCGTACTCTCATTTCGATAAGTTTTCGTCGTGTAATTCATAACTCTCGCTGGCTAAGTGATGTCTAATATAGTGCATCGCCGGTGATTATGACTGAGCCATTACGCACGCGATAATCCATAGACAGCAGTACAGGTATACGATGCGAAACAACCAACGTACGCACGCGAGCGGGGCTGGCTCATTGTAGGTCACGGAACAAGATCATCAAGCTGCTGATCACAGCTCTGCCGTCATCAGATCCGCTAGCTGCGGGTGTACTGCCATCGCACGACGATTAACCCATGTTACTAATAGCCGAAATATGATGGGAAATCATCCGTCATTCGTCGTAATGATATTATTAATCAGTGATCAGAGCTGTTCTGTTATGAATATCAGTCCTACAGAACAAATTAAGGGAAAGTTACTGCGTCTTGTCTGTGCAACTGACTTATCTCTACCTACTGTATCATAAATATGCTGTTTGTCGATCCCTGGTGGATGGTGTAAAAAAATTATAGTTTAATTATAAATATTATAGGCTGCATATAGTCTATATGGCATAAGCCTCCTACATACAACGTGGACCGTGCACTGATGAAGACTGTATTTTTATCTGCACAGATCCAAGAACTAGGATTTTATTTCTACACCATAACACATAATGCAGTTAACTGCTATGTCTGGATTTATTCAATTTGCCACATGTATATATTTTATTTGTGGCATTGGCTCTCAGTAGTGGTTTTCTTCATATTATTCCATGTTACTGCTGTACGTTTAATATATACCTGTACAATTTCGATTCGCGCGTGTACGCATGCGTGAATGCACGCATACGGGCTACAGGTAGCCCGGAATTTTACCTGAGGCCAAATTAGTTGTTCCCTTATTGATATACTTGTGTGCAAGCTGCTGCTCAATGCGCTCGTGTGCACGTTGTGTGACTGTTTTCTCGTGGCAGTCTAACTTTTGCTCGAGCATCTGTGAATAGACCTGTATTACAGACGTGTACAGATAGACCTGTGCACATATCCAGATCACAACACATGATTTCAGTTTGGTCTTGCTTGATAGCAATATTGCCATTGTATCGTAATTTGTGCATTCAGTTTTATTTTAGTGAGAACTGAATAATTTGGTGGGGGACAACATCAAAACGCTTACTTAACACCTAAACATTCCTTTGTTCTTAATTTACTCTTAATTCCCCCTATTGTGCTTATATATGCATTAGTAAGAGCTCTAGTAGATGTTAATTACTTGTCATCCACTATTGCATAAGAGGAATTGCATGTCTGAATAAAGTTCTAAGATGGCAATTAAGTTTTTGCACAATTAAATTATAATTTCTTAACCATTTACTGTTTTTTTCCTTCACCTATACACGATGATTATTCACGTGGCTTGTGTCACATTCTCTTAAATGTCACGAGGTCGAAGAGTCAATATCATATAGTTAGGATCACAACATTGCAAAGAACTAGCAAAAAGTGTTTTTTTATTATAGTGTTGACCACGTATGACCTTATTGGGAGTTGTTCTCATTATGTCATCTGTGCAATAATTTCTTTTACATAAACGTACATCATTCTCAGAAACTTTTACTGATGCTTTCATTGTCTTAATTGGTTATACATATTTAATTTGATGTGTTCTGAAGGAATTATGTTCAATATTTTTATGAACATACTGATCGAGCTATTTGAAGCTAACATCTAATCGAACCTTATTTGAAAAAAATGGATACCTTTTCTCTCTTCAGATTGACAACATCATCGTAGTGTCCAATGGTATCATGTGTGACTACATTCAATGTGGATCATCGAGTTTCCAGGCGAAGTACAGAAGGCTTGTAAATCCAAACCTGATCTATGCCTATATCGATGTGTCTGGACATTCTGGAATCCTGAGGGGAGAAAACACTCATGACAGAGACATATTTCTGACTGGATTCAGTGACCAAATCCTAAGGTATAGGCAATCCATGCAATTTCATATTTTACCTAGCTGGCGGATTTTTTGCTTGTTTATTAAGCAAACGTAGCTGATATGTAAAGAGCATTCCTACAATATTAGTCACTGATTTACAGTATGTTTGGGCTGAGTGCTGTGAATTCAGGTGAAAAGTATCTTGCCACTAAAAGGTTTTCCATGTATCACACAGTAACGTTTTCATGTCAGCCACCTACAGGTGTGTTTATAGCTCACACAGTGAATTCTATCAAATTTCTCCGCTGTTGATTTTCGTCAGTCAATAGCTGTTATCTTGCCTTTCAATGTCGCATAGTCATAATATTATCCGATGATTCAACACAAGACAATCTATGTGATGAATGCGGAGTGACTAAGAGCAATAGGATCCTATATGCAATCTGATGAAGTCAGATCATAAATGTCTATTAAACCAAAGAATAGTTTCAACAGAAAAATCTTTAAGGAGTGTTATAGTTGCGATGTTTTAATTCACAATATATGGTTGATTGATTGCAGGTACATCTGCAACCGAGGTGACAGTGGGCAGCTGATACAGGTGGAGAATATTGACAGGGCCTATGAGCTGTGTTCGTCAGAGAAGAAGCCGCAACTGGAGGCCCTTACAGAGGAAGCTGATGCTAGAAGTGCTAAACTGACCTATGCTCCCTTGTATGTCATTTGGGTTATGTGTGGGAAAATGATAACAATAAAAAGGGTCCAATAGCATGTTCAGATATTTTGCCCTGAATCAGATTTTCTAAACTGTGATCTCATCATTTAAAATGAGGTTTTGCTGATACTACGGCAATTCTTTGTGTCATTATCGTCGCAGTTGTCACCCGTAGATGAACACCAATTTTATGTTTCTAATTTTCTCTTTTTCTCCTGTAGGTGGCGCACCATCCGCGTATTCATTTCCTCGACGTTCAAAGACATGCATGGTGAGCGAGACCTTCTCACGAGGTTCGTGTTCCCGGAGTTACGAGCACGTGCGAGGGAGCGATTTGTCAACGTCTACGAGGTTGACTTGCGATGGGGCATTAGTGAGACGGCTGCCACTGACACAGGGTACGTGGTTGTGCATGTGCACCAGATTTCTTGCTTACAATGTTCATTCTACACCACGTATTTTGCTGAAACACTTGCTCTGACAATTGCGATCCAATTCTAATTAAAAGCGAGTTTCGAGTTTAGCAAACGCCACCATTTCTAATGGTAATTCACATCATTGGTGTCTGCCACAAGTCTGCGTCGAAACACTACCACCCTCATCTTATCCGGAAATAAGACAGTATGGGTGTTACTTAATTTTACCTGCCATATATTGGTCACCGTCGTTCAAAGTAACGTTTTCTCGCAAGTTTTCTCAGCTGTTACAGGTAAGTTACCAGTTACAGTTACCTAAGTTTAAGTTTACCTAGGCTGGCATTCTCTGCCTAATGGCTAGTGTCGCTAGTAAAGTTCAGAGGCATTTACGTTGTTGCATGCGCGTCCTTCAGGAGCCTCGAGCTGTGCCTGTCCGAAGCCAGCCAATGCCAGCTGTTCGTTGGCATGCTGGGAGAGCGCTACGGCTGGACGCCTGCATCCTACGATGTCAGCGACCGACGCGAGTTTGATTGGCTGAAGGGCTTTGTGGCGGGAGCGTCTGTGACGGAGCTGGAGATGCAGCATAGCGTGCTGCGGAACCACGCGCGTCGACGCGGGACGGCCATCTTCCTGCTGCGTGATGGCAGCTACGAGAAGTAGGTGTAACGAGATAGAAGGAGACGATACAGGAATATGAAGAGGGAGGTAGTTGTGCGAGAACTATGGAGAGTAGGATGGACATAGAGGGAGTGAGAGAGAGAGAGCGAGCAAGAGAGAGAGGGAAAGAGACCGAAAAAGAAAGAGAGAGAGCGCGAGATAGATAGAGAGAGAGAGGGGGGGAGAGAGAGACCGACAGAGAAAGAGAGAGAGGGGGAGAGAGAGACCGACAGAGAAAGAGAGAGAGAGAGAGCAACGGAGCACAAATGAGAAACGGGAGATTATGGAAAGAGGTGTGAGGGAAAGAAAGAGAGAACAGAAGTAAGAAAGAGATATGACACAGAATATACATATACACAAATAAGAAACTTCAAACAGATCAGCTCTTGCAATTCTTACCTAAACTCACTTCTCAATTTTCTGCAGGGAAATTCCAAAGAAATACCAATCGGCAATGTGCGTGGAAAATGCAGACTGTGCAGTAAAGGTTGCCAAGTTGAAGAAAGCCATCCGCGCCAGTGGGCACCACATCTATGATGGCTATCCGTGCAAGTGGGGCGGGGTTGTTGATGGCAAACCTATTGTCGCAGGATTAGAGCTGTTTGGAGCCGAAGTGCTAAACAATCTGTGGAAAGCCATTTTAGATCTGTGTTGTGATGAGGTATCTTATTCCGCAGACTGCCATTTCACAAATTCGCTTGACTCTTCATACACAAGTTTCTTTTACCAGTTTTTATGTGTTCAGGAAAAAGTTTGCTAAGTATTAGCAATAAGCAATGGATTAGGGTTATAAAATGTTTGGGAATCGGTGTCTACTCTTGATATAATTTATGCCCAATCGTGTGTATAAAAATGTAGGCCCTCTTGTGATGTAAGAAAAGAATGGTGATTTATCATGATTTACCTTAATCACATATGCTATTGGTCTGTAGACTGAGACAACTGACCAGGGAGATCAATGGGAGTGGCACCATGGCCAGCACACGGCACAGGCTGAATTCTACAGGCAGGCCTTTGTTGGACGCAGACCTCTGCTGCAGACATGTCTGAACACTATAGTGGCATGTGAGAAGGGTGCAGTCGTGTTAGCTGGGAAGCCTGGCAGTGGGAAATCTGCAGTGATGGTAAGCTAATATTAAGTGTTAAAGATCAATCAAATTTGTTGAAAGCAAATTAAGTTCAATTAACCCTCTACATTCCTATGTTTTGCAAAAAAATAGATCTCACTGAATGAATAAATGTGTTGTATGTTTCTCTTACAGTCAGAACTACTGGAACTGTACCATGGGTCAGACGCATGCAAGGCTGGATCAGATGTGATTTCACACTTTCTTGAAGCCGTTCCGGGCTCTACGGGCATTCATGCCATGCTAACCAGGCTCTGTCATGAACTGACTATTTGCGACTGGCGACAATTTGCAGACTCTACTGTGCCAGTCAAATATGAGTATGTGTTCATGTTTGTCATAACCAATGAATAAAGACTATAGTTATAAATCAACGGGGTCCATACCTGTTGGCTATTTCTAGGGTCGAGCAGTATAATCATACTCATGTTATATATATATATTTCCAAATTTCAAACAATATTTATGCCTGTGTCATAACGTAGTTCATTTCTTTATTCTAATTCATTTCTTTATTCTTATTCGATATAATGTCGACCATAATTTTGAAAATCGAAAAAACCTTTACATTGATAAGATTTTTAAAAGATCTGACTGACTTTCAGGAACCTGGTTGCTAAGTTTGGAAAGCTAATTGCTGAGACAGCACAGCAGACCTCATCACCACTAGTTGTGTTCATCGATGGCTTGGACTTACTGGATGACACCCATCAGGCCAGGAACCTACACTGGCTCCCTGACCCACTGCCAGAGGTGTGTTTTTATTAGATAATGTTAAACTGTGTGTGAGTCCATGTGTGATTAAGAAGAGTTATGAAGTGGATGGCATGTGAGATATGACATTTCTTTGATATTAGGTGAAATGTGTTGCTATATATTTTATACATATATCCATACATGTATACTATTGTTTTTGGCACATATCATATTTATCCATACTAACTGTGCAGCTATTGTGAAGGCCTGCATGCAATACAGGTGCTGTCATTTTACTCGTACGTACCAACACTTACGCTAAACTTTAATACCTTCCCTTAAAATATTATTTTTCCACAGGTGCATCTTGATAACTAATTGCATTCGTTTTACTCCATAGAATGTAGTATTCGTCGTGAGTGTGAACCTTGACTCCGACCTCCACATCGTCCTGAAGGAAAGGAGGGCACATGAGGTGATCGTCGAGCATCTCGACATCTGGGATAGAGCAAAACTCGTGCGACAGACGCTGGCTTCACACGGCAAGACTCTCGATGAATCAGCCTTCAGCAACCAGGTCTGACACATGCTCTCAGCTATTCTCTTCTTCCGGAGGCTGGAAAGTGTAGATTGGGACATTATAATGTGTAGCCAGCAAATATCTACTAGTACAGGACTTGTGTATTATGTGTGTAGCCAGCAAATAGCTACTAGTACAGGACTTGTGTACCATGTGTAGCCAGCAAATATCTACTAGTACAAGACTTGGTGTGTTGTACTACATGGTACTATTATAGAACTGGGATTATATATAGTTGTAGGACTATTTGTAGGGTATGATCTATAGAATTGACTGTGAATATAGAGTAAGCTGTCACCTCTGTTCACCTGTACAGAATGTTGTCATCGCACTATTAAAGGTCAATTATTTTCTTTACTAGATGAAGGTGTTGGTTTCCAAGAGGGAAGCTGGTCAACCACTGTTTTTGAAACTGGCCTGCGAGGAGCTAAGAGTGTTCGGCTTGTTTGCGAAAGTAAGTAAGGATAGCATTTTACTTTATTATCATTTACCGTTACTATAACTGAGGGCACTATGGCAACTATGTAACTATGGCAGCACAGTGTCTTCTTCTGGGTCTAATTAAGCCTAGCCCCTGGTCTGAAATTTAAATGCGTGTATGTACTTACATCAGGTGTCGGCCAAGCTGCGTAGTTTACCTCAGACAACCCCTAAGCTCTTGCAAGACATTCTACAGCGTTTGGAGACAGAGCACACACACGAAATGATTGCCACGACACTTCAACTTGTTTACTTTGCTCGAAATGGTATGCACGTCATGTCCCAATACATTTATCTCTATGCTATATGCAGTATATAGTATATAGAATATAACATATAGCATATATAGTATATTGCACTAAGAATCATCCTGCTATCCTTGAAGAAACATATAGCTACTGGCGCGTGCCTTGAAAGGTCCATATTTGTTCAACCTTCTTGAAACAACAATAGTATTCTGCTTACTCCTGCTGATGGAATACATTCGCCTATGCAGGGCTGTTAGAAACAGAACTACATTACCTACTGAGCTACCATTTCAATGCTGGCGAGTCACGGAACAAGTCACGGTCTAAGGATGCAGCTTGTGAGAGCAGGAATGTGTATATAAGGCCAGACCAGATGATTGCACCCGTGGTGCTTTCAAGGTTGCTACATGCTCTACATGGCTTTCTACGAGTAACAGGCACCGAAAGGTAATTGTTCAAAAACTTTACAAAACTATTCTTTTCGATCAGAATCCAGTGCTTCTGGTTATTTACTTATGGAAGTGGCCAATATGGAGGCAGGAGTGGGTATGGCAGGGGCGTAGCAGGAGCTCTTGCTACCGTTATCACAATAGAGTATAGTTTCACAGCAATACAACTGCAGATGGCGCCACAGAGCAGTGTTTTTTGTACTGCAACATCCCACCTTAGCGACCTGATTAACTATAATTACAAAATATGACTGGAGATGGTGCCACAATATAATATGCTACCTGTTTCAGGATACTGCGTTTGGCGCATGCGGCGATAGGCGCGGCAGTGAATTCACGCTACGTGAGGAGCCTCTCTGCGAACAAGAAGCAGGAGCTGCACAGGCTACTGGCTAGCATCTACCTGCAGGAGGCTGATCCAGCCAGAGATGGCTCCTGGAAGGGACTCAACAGTCGAGCCTTCACTGCGCTGCCATACCATCTTGTAAATTCAATATCACGTTTCCCTCATCAACGCGACACATCTTGTATCTTTGTGGTCGCATCCGTGATAATGGTTTGCAGACGGTAAAACCTTCGTTCAGTGTGTCTCTCTGTGGTTGCGTGTGAATTCAGCATTGTTTTTGGAGGTACCGGAATGATTTACGTAGAGGGAATCCTGGCAAACATATATCTAGTTCACGACAGCTTCAAGTTGAGATTGCAGAGCGCTGTATTTCCTCGCCAGGTTTCCCAAGCTGTTGGCCAGCATTTCCTAAGCGCGAAAACTAGCTCTTCGTCTGCTAGACAATGCTCCGTGACATTTCCGTTTCGGACCGACGATCGCGATCCCGATCTCTTGCCCACCGCGATCGCGATCTCTCGCCCGCCGCGATCGCGATCTCTCGCCCGCCGCGATCCCGATCTCTCGCCCGCCGCGATCCCGATCTCTCGCCCGCCGCGATCGCGATCTCTCGCCCGCCGCGATCGCGATCTCTCACCCGCTGCGATTACTTTCAGATGCTCGGCGGTTGCCACGTGCAGTTAGAGCGGATGCTCTGCAACCTAAACTTTCTACACAAGAAGTTCCAGCTGGGTCTTGGTGCTCAGCTCCTGCAGGACTTTGCTGCACAGGCGTCGGGGTCGCCCGCTAGTTCCAAGCAGCAGCCTGCGGAGGAGGATGGCAGTCGCGTGCAGCAGTACCAAGCGTTTGTCACTCGTCATCAGCACATCCTGTCGAGGTGAGGTCCCCCTCTATGATTGGTCGGTACCAAACCTATTGTTTGATACTGCATGAGATACCAAGGTCTAACCATAACCCTAACCCTATCCCTAACCCTAATCCCTAACCCTAACCCTAATCTTAATCCTAACCCTAACCCTAACCCTAATCCTAACCCTAACCCTGACCTCTATGATTGGTCGGTTTACAGATGCGTTCGAGAATCTTGCGATCGGTTTACGTCGGATTATTTCAGCGAATGAGTATTCACGATGAGATTCGTGATCTGTTTGCATTCACCGTCATCAGAGAATAGACATTCTTTACGTTATTTGCTCTTTGTTTCGTACTACTGTGAGGTGGCAATCATATGTTGTGTTTCTGGTAGTTGCCCGCTGTTGACGTGGCAGTACGCACTCAACGAACCGGATACGTCTCCACTTCGCGATGATCTGGGAAAGTGCGCCGGACTGTCGCCAAGTCAACGTGATGCGTACCTCATGTTGAACTGGATGAACCGACCGCAGTATGCCGATCCTTGTAGCATGACACTCACTGGCTTTCATAAGCCGATAACCTGCCTGGCAGTGTCTAGTGACGGAGTCTGTGTTGTGAGCGGTGGTACTGACTGCATTCTAAGAATCATCAATCTAACTACAGGTAAACTTCTAAATAGATTCGAAAATATTTTTGCAAATAACTGCATATGGCAGTGGGATTTTGCTTCTGCACTTACTGATGTCAATAGATTTGGTTTGGCGTTTGGCTCAAACAGATATTGTGATTACCAAATGCTCTGCCGATGCTTTCTTGCAGGCCAAGAGGAGTCCATGTTTGTTGGCCATGCACACACCATCAGTGGCGTCTGTTTTGCTGGCACTGGTGTTGTGTGCTCAGCGTCGCTGGATAATACACTGTCACTGTGGAACCTCAGTCATGGAACTAGGTAGTATAGACCGGAAAGAGAGTTTTCATTTTATCTACTGTCATGCCATTAAATCAGGAATTGCAAAGCTTCACGATATTTACTGTTACTTGCTGTATGTATATAGTACCCAGAGTGCATAATGTTCACATATGACTATTTGTTTGAATTTCTATTGATATCTCTTTATACTACTACTACTCACTATATATGTATGCACCTACTACTTGCACCGTCACTGATTAATTGGTTCCAGATCTCTAATACTAATATTTTCTATTTAAAAAACTCCATATTCAATCAGTTGTTGCTTGTTATTACCACATAACTGATTGTTCTATTCTGTCATAAAGGCTGCACGTTCTGAAGGGTCATTCACGAAGAGTGAGTGCGTGTGCTGCAGATGTAAGTGGTAAGCTGTTAGCATCTGCTGGTTGGGACTGTCAACTAAAAATCTGGGATGTGCGGCAAGGCAAACTAGTGACAACGTTTTTGGAAAAGTAAGTCTTTGGATGTTTTGTAATCACTTTCCTGCATAATCGATAATCCCTTTGTCTGAATTTTTTACTTTCTTGTAAATCTAAAATAATGGAGTAATAAGACCCAAAAATAGGCCTGAATGAGTTTCAGTGAGAGGAAACTTTATCATTTTTTATACGCAATTTAATCAAATATTTTCTGTGTCATTTTAATATAAACGTGTAGAACTAACTACTTATTGTATCTGTCACGCCTTCATAACAACAGGAGACCCATCAATGCCGTCGCTTTCCATCCTGAAGGAGATATTGTAGGAACAGCTGGCTGGAGTTCTGTCATTCAGCTGTATGACATCGTTAACCAGAAACGAATTGCAGTAAGTGTTTCACGTGAAACCTGCCAGGTGTAGAAATCTTTCATTTGCGTTGACTTTTTCTCAGACTATGGGTGTAAGTGTGCGCACATTTTATTAAAAGCACAGCTGAGTGCATTACATGCATACCAGTACTACACTATGCTATGGCATGCTACCCACATCATACCAGGGCATGCCATACCACGTCACACCATGCCATATCACACTGCACTATATCACATTTGTGAATATTAGATTAATTAACTGTGCGACAACAAAGGCTTTGGTTGCTGCTTATCCAGTAAGAGCTTTTTTGCAGGTCCTCTCATGTACTCAGTTTTTGTCTCGTCATTGTCGTCTAATAAATTTCTTTCTATTTGTAGATTGTGCGAGGACACATGGCATCTGTAAGGGCGATGACATTCTCCCCAGATGGCAAATATATGGCATCGTCTGCCTTGGATTGCAGTGTGAACCTCTGGGCAGCCAAAACTGGGACCATGGTTTGTTCAATACTTGCTGAAATGCTACTGTTTTTATCAAAAACCATACAAACTAGCAGGTATTAGTTTTATTTTTAGAAATGATTTATCTAGAGAGGTTAATTGTATGTGCCGTGATACATTCTTTTTTAAATCGAAAACCATTGATTCAAAGAAATACAAAAGGCTACATGTGCTTCCTGAATACATGCAGGTTGGCAACCTGAGTGGTCACCACTTGCCTGTGAACAGCCTACTGTTCTCGCGTGATGGGCAGCAGCTGGTCACTGTTAGCGATGACCACACAGCCAAGCTATGGTCGGGTCACATCGGAAAAGAAGTTTTGTGTTTGAAGCCACCAGTGGAGGCGAGGGACAGCCATGCTCTGTGTGTGACCTTGAACGACAGTGGTTCCAGGGTTGCAGTTGGCTATCACAATGGACATGTCCGGATCTTTTGTGTGAAAACAGGTAAAATGAAAGGGGGGAAACACTGCCAGTATTATTCGATGTGAAGGAATTGACCGTGTGACTTGCTACCCCAACATCGGGTTTCGTATACTCAAAATCGATGAATCTTAAGAATCAATGTATGGCAAGATGGACGTCAGGGGACAAAAATGGTTGGTTACAAACATCTAGTTATATATTTTTGCTATACTGAATGATACTCTCTTACTTGACTTATCACTCGCTGAATGATCATTAGGTTTACTGATGGACGATATTCACCGACATGCCTCTCCTGTGAGGTGCCTAGCTTTCCTGTCAACTGATCTGCTAGTTTCTGGCTCCGAAGATCATACAGCCAAGGTACCACCTGTAGACAATATCTCCCATGTATAGAAATCTTATAAAGTCGTCGCCCTAAGAGACCAGGTTGTTTTAAATAAGTGTTGGGAATTCTTGACCTTTAATGAGGTGACCTTTTCTGTGAGAATACTGATGTTTTAAATTGGTGTTGTTACAAAAACACTGGTTTACAATTTTGCACAATTTCCTCTGTTTATAGGTTAATCATAGACACAGAGACGTAGTAACAGAGCAGCTGTTGACTGGGCACAAGGGAGCCGTGGTAGCTGTTGCTGCAGCCGATAGTTACATTGTCACTGCATCTGAGGACTTCACTGCCTATGTCTACCCTGGTGCTAGTTCTCTCTCCACCAGTAAAGGCAAGGAGTAAGTTCTATTTGCACTGATGGATGTGCAAATTGTGATAGTATGTGATAATATTTCGTTGCTATGAATTATACATGTGAAACCTTGATGGGTGTGTCAAGTAGCGATAACTTGTGTTCTAAGTATTTCCTTTTGCTTCGCAGGTTGGCGCCTTTGTGGCATCTCTGTGAGCACACGGGCCCCGTAACATGCTGCAACCTGTCACCAGATGGCAGGCGTGTTGTGACTGGCAGTCGGGACATGTCGGTGATCATATGGGACCTCGCGGGAAGTGATCCGACAAGACCGGAACATGTGATACCTGAAGCTCATAGAGACTGGATCACATGCTGTGCATGGTCAAACGTGGGAAATTACCTGGTACAGAGCAACTTTGGACTTTTCTCAGTTTTAATGTGGCATGGCATGTGTACAGAATCGTGTGGGGAATATAAATATATTTCGTTCTTGTGTGTCTCTGCACATAAAGAGTATCTTGTTCCAAAAAATCTATTCGTAATGCATGAAAATAATATGGGTTATATATCTAAGCAATAAACGTTTGTTCATGCTTTCCGCTATTTAGATAGCACCAGATTCCACCACATTGTAGCCTAATATAGGTGCAATCAAATGGTGAAATTGGTTGCATTTTTTGTCAGAAAGCTATCATTTTTTTCATTCGTTTTCAGGTAACTGGATCTAATGATTTCACATTAAAGCTATGGGATGTTGCTGCTGTATCAGCAGAAAATGTTCCAAAGTACCATTTTACTGGTCACGAGTCTGCTATCAACGCAGTTGCTTACAAGGTAGGTATGTTGTGTACAACAGCACAGCACTGAAGCATTAGGGTATATAATTATGATATTATAATTAGCATGCTTTCTACAGAAGTAGTAATTGAAAACAGAAATTATTGTCGAGCAAACCTTATGAACAATTATGTCTTATCGTAATCCTGAGGATAAATAATCCTGTACATTGTGTATTTACAAAGCTGTTGTTCTCAGTCGGGTTGTGTCGTGTCTGCGTCACACGATGGTACAGTGAAGGTGTGGTCCCACAAGGGTGTTGAGATGACAACATTATATGGGCACAGTGAGAGGGTTAACTCTTGTGATCTCTTCGTCTTCCCAGAAAAAGCAGGTGAGCATACCAACACATTTTATCTTGTAATCAAGAGCTAATATAGCAGTAATAGTACATGTATTGTTAGCTCATTGTAATACATGTATTGTTAGCTCATTGTAATACATGTATTGTTAGCTCATTGTAATACATGTATTGTTAGCTCATTATAATACATGTATTGTTAGCTCATTGTAATACATGTATTGTTAACTCGTTGTAATACACGTGCCCCCATGCTATATCTACGCTATGCAATATCAATGATGGTCACCTTGCTCTGGAAAATCTATTTAGAGTTGTTACAGTTAACGAACCACTGTTTAATAGCAGACGTAAAGTCTGCACTATGAAACATAGCCAGGCTAGAAAACTGTGTTTCTCATTGTGGCACTGGTGTAACTCACACAGTCTCTGTGACAAAGTCCAAAAGATCCATGGACTGGGCAGCAGAAATGGAACTTAGTGATTGGAAGGAAGAATATGAAAAGAAAGATACTAAAGAAAAGCAGAGCAAACCGAAATACGAGGATGTCATCGTAGTATCAGCTGGTGATGATGGCACAGCTCGAGTGTGGCGTCCTTTAGAGGTACTGTGATTTGCCATAGTAACCAAAATTGTTTCTGCTACATGTGACTATTGACAGATGAATTCAGAGATGGAAGACTGAAGTGGCAGATGCTTTCAGATAAATAGCAGTTGGTGTGGTTTTCCACTTCTAACATCAGTTGATATTATAAGATTTACTAGAGATATATGGGTTGGTTGTATGCTACCGTCAGTACTCAGCTGCTATATTAACATGATGACCCACGTCTTTATCATAAGGGAAATGAGTTGATGACATTGGATGGCCATTCCGATCGAGTTCTAGCTGTTACTATGACGAACAAGGAAAAAATCGTGACTAGCTCTCTAGATTGCAGTGTTCGTGTGTGGCAAGCCGTTCGTGAGACTATGCAGGACCAGCATAGGTGAGCGTATTAACATATTTTCTAGAAAATATTAAGTAGAGTTCTTAGAGGTATTAGGTTTGATGTTTATGCTTAGTTTAATCGGTTTTCGTGAATTGAACAACTGTGCAAGATTGATGGTAAGAAAGGATTTAACATGTCAATTACTTTCAGCTTTGTCAACCTGCTCAAAATGTTGCTGTGCTCCTTAAAAATTTATCTACCTAATATCTTGTGAACAGGGGCATAATTTATAACCACACTAGTGAGAGAAAGCAGGAGGAATACATGTTTTCATGTTTATCATTTGTTATTTCATTTATTCATTGCTTCGAATTGACTGTGATGTGTGTTGTTGTTGTTGTTGCAGAGGTGAAGTAACATGTGTAGCTGCGTCGGGTAAATATGCAGTGACTGGTGGAAGAGATGGACTCGTAAGGCTGTGGAGTATTGCAAGTATGCAATGCATTAGCAAAGCAAAGGTAAAGAAATATCAGTCCACGTCATCTGTTAATGATCCTTTAGTTATGTAAATAATATTATCAGGTGTGCATATTTCATATGTAGTAATTAATGATATAATGAAATGTAGAAGTGCATTTGAAGATCTTATGAAGTTAATTGTGCCATTACTAATTGTGTTATTTGAAGAATCTTTGGGAAATGTTATTTTTAATTGAAATTATTTTTGAAGATAGTAGCTGAGATATATACGATATAAACACTACCATCCAATTATATTTCCTTTGGACTGAAGATGTCATATAAGCTATTTGAAGCATATATATTAAATAAATATAAATATAATAAAATAACATAAAACAAAAAATGTATCTGTGCCATTAATTCTGTGGAAGGAAATGTAGTGTGCTGCAATGAGATTATTGGAAAAGCCACTCAAATTAGATATTCATGTGTTTTAGGTGAGTGAGAGAACAGTCACATCACTTTGCTTCTCTATCAAAAGTCGACTCATGATTGGATCTGCTGATGGTGTCTTAAGGGAGTTCACCATTGATAATGTCACCGACCAGCTGAGCCTCTCTCGGTGGGTTTTCACAAACCAGTGTACCCTGCCAACTTGCCCTGTCGTTTGCTGTTACTAATGTGTGATTTTCTAGGATGCATTTGATCTGCTCTCTGACTGTGAATTATTTCTCATAATGTATGAACTGGTGTGCAGTGTTTTATTTTTTCGAATCTGGGACCATTTTTCACAATTGAATGTATAATATTACCTTCTACTAAGGTAACTGTGATGGACATTTTTTTATTGCTGTAATGCAATATTTCAGGCAGCTTCACATCTTTCACACTCCAATAACAACAATTGCAACTGTGACCATGAACACAGACAAAAATCCAGCTGTCATCATGGTGATTGTGGCACAACAAAACGGTCAAGTGTCGTTGGTGTATGCTGATGATACCTTGATGACTTGCAGGGATTCAGAATTAATGTAGGTTATCGCTAGTCATAGTAAAGTCATCATCGTTATCATAGTATTGTCTTATATATTGTTGTCATTTTTATTGCAATAGTATCGTCTTGTATATTTTTGTCATTGTTGTTGCAATAGTATTATCTTGTATATTGCTGTCATCATTATTGTCGTAGTATTGATTTATATAACATTGTCCCTGTCCTTGTCACACTGTTTGTCTTGTACGTACAATATTGTCATTGTTGTTGTCATAGTATTGTCATTGTAATTGCCATGTATAGTCTGTAATTATGTATAGTTCTTGTAGATTCGGCAAACTCTGTACCGCCATTTATGAGCTAATGTAACGCATTATGTAATTTGGCATTACCAGGTTTGACTGTGTTCTGTGTGTTGACTCGGACAGAGATATGATCGTCTGTTCTACAGATAATGGCACAATAGCTCTATGCTATTTAAAGTCCACAGATCAGGCAAGTACCCTTCTGCAAAGAAATTTAGGTTATTGTGTGTAGAGTGATGCATAAAGTCTATTTCTTTACTGCATAGATTAGGGTGTTTTTTATGTGTTTATATTACCCTTTACTGTCGCAAGGAATATATATTTATAGAATAGATGGCCAATTACAGATATGCTTGTGGTGAAATTGTGGTTCTTCTATATTGTTAGCATCTATTCTTGAAGCTGATCTCTCAGTACATGCTTTAATCTAACCTGTCTCTTGTTTGACTAGCCTAGTCAGGATCACAATTTCTCTGTGTACGTGATCTGCTACGTTTTATCAACGTTCTACTTGCGTTACAGAAAAAACCAAAGCTAATATGGCCAGATGAAGAGAGCAACAGTGAGTCGTGGACTACCATCCAGCACCTGTCAGCAGGCAAAGAAATCTTCCAAAACTGGGTGCTGGCTTGTTGCTGTGACAGTAACAGAGGGGAAGTGTATGCTGGTGACTCGGAAGGCTATCTTACTGTCTTCCGTAGAAGTAATTCCAACGCATTGGAGAAGAACTTCTTCTCAAGGAAGGTAAGTCATGAGGGTTCTGGAAAAAAATTTCATCTCTGTGGCAAGCTTGGGCTTCTATAGCTAGAAATGCGTGTAATTGTCACACGTAATGTAATGTATATTGTGTCACGTGTATTCTATTGTCAGTCATGTATTGTAAACTTTGGTGAACTTGCATGTTCGTGTAAAGGTATGTCTATCCATAACTGCACTTTAGCGTACAAAGTGAGCTGTGCATCAATATATGTTATAAGGTTTACAATTAGTAGTACAGTTTATCTGACAATGGCTGTAATTCTGTTCCAAAGGTCCATGATGGAGCAATAACATGTATGACACTGCTACGCAGCCACTGTGCAATTGCAACCGGATCGGACGACAAAACCATCAAACTTCTCAATCTTTCAACGTGGAAGCAGGTACTGATACTGAAGTGCCTAAGCTTGCATAAATAATCTATTTATCTCTTTATACGTTAGGTGTAACCTCAGGGTACACCAATAAAGCTGAGGCTGATCACAACTATTGTATTAGCTCATGGCTCTTGAAATGGTAAATATTTTATCCAAAATATTACTTCTCCGTGTGCAGTACTCATTGCGGCCTCCCTGTTTGTGTATCAATATTCAGCATGGTCTTTTGCTTGTGCATAATTCTAATTATAAGACTGCTCCCAATGTTAGAAAACGATTGTTTTTATAATTACTGGATAATATAAATTTATTTAGTAGTTGTTGACTGTATACCAACAAAGATTTTCTGCTTTGGAAAGGGCCATATTTTATTAAGGTCTTATCAACGCTTCTTATAAAAATCACTGGAAAATAATCTTTGGGCCGAAACTCTCCAACTTGCTGCATGTAAATTAAAAGCATAATTTCACTTGTATAGGATTTATAAGTACTAGGTAAGAATATCTGCACCAGACATATATCAGATGTACCAGAATGTATGCATTTGTATACCAGATATACCAGATAGGTGCTTTGCTCCCTGTAGTAATTTAATGCTTACATCGATTTGTATTTGACATATGTGACCCGCTCCAGCATAATACGGACTAAGTCGCAAGTCATTGTTTTCAGTAATGAGCCCGCACACATGTCAATGCTGAAAATGGCCTACCAGGACAAAAATGAGATTTTTACAAAAATAAGTTTCTAAGTGCATATTTAATCCGGATATATAGGTTCAGATATCTCTAGATTATTATGGTAATTTTTAATTAAAAAAAAAAGAAACTAAATTTTTTTAAGGGCCCCTGACCGCTCATCCTCGACTGGGCCCCTTACCCGGAACGCTTTATCTCAAAAGCTGTATATTCCGAAAGAAGTCGGTTTCCGATCTTCAAATTGCTGTAGATCGGTCAATTCTTTAGATATAGCCAAATATTATATATCATTTTAAAGGTAATTAAATAATTAAATGATCTATTCAGATATGCACATAACTCAATTTGTAGAATTTCCTACTTAATCCTGGTTCTGCTGGAGCGGGTCACATATAAGGTCTCTGTCAACTATGCTAATCAAAAGAAAGGTCCAGGGAATGAAACTGCGGGAATGGTTCAATTAATTCTTCACTATCATCTGTAGCTGTTCCGTTGCTAGTCAATATTAATTCGTCAAAATTTGAGAGCTCTTCGTATGGAATAATACCTTATATGTCCACGAAACAACGTCACTGTATTGACGTTTGGACTACTTGATGTTTTCAGGTTGGGCAGTTTTATGCGAAAACCGAGGTGACAAGTCTGTGCAGCTGCAATGGAACCCTGATTGCAGGAGACAAGCAGGGGCGCACTATCTTTCTGCAGCCTGCGAAGATGACTGACATTTGAACTAGAGAAAGAAGTAAAAAATAGCATATATTGATCAGGCCAGAGACGTGCCTTATAATTATGGAACTCATATACTACGTACTAGTGCACGTTTAAAGAAGCACTGTATGGTGTGATGCACGCATACAATATATCTATATATATCTATGATTACATTTGGACTTACCTCAAGTATAATTTTAATGATTTCATCATGGAATTAAATATTTGTGTGTGCGTGCGTGCGTGCGTGCGTGCGTGCGTGCGTACGTGTGTGCATGCATACGTACGTGTGTGCGTGCGTGTGTATGTGTGTATCAAGTCATATAAACTATGATTAAATATAAGTATAATGTAGCCTGACAAAGAGACATAGAGACATGCTTTCTAGAAAGCTCGCTTTTTAAAATATATGACCTTGTTTTTATATAAAGTAAATTCTAAATTCTTAAAATTAATCTGCATTATATAACATCAAGTAATACTAAATTAGTAGTTTGCAAGGTTATGTTCACTGCTGGTTGATTAGTTCCAATAAACCAAGATCAAAGACGCTTGTAATATTTTCTGTTTAATGCTGATCAAGTATGCCAAGTATGTTTAATGTATCATTAGTAGGCTGCCTATATAATTATTTAATGAATACTATATGGTATAATGCTTTACTGTGTTATTTTTATGTTTTAAATGGAAATCTTTATGTTCACGTAATTAAAAAAACGTTATAAAACTCATTTTTGAGTGGAATGTATGGTCGGTGTAATATTGATAGTTATAGAGATTACATTTTCGTGATATGCATGTTAAATACATTACAGAGATTTAGCAGAAATTATTGTCGGAAGCATCACTGTGATCACTGAGTGTGTGGAACCTAGATGTTATAATAAATTCTTGAAAACCCAATATATGTTCATACGTACAATCGATATCGTTTTACTCTGTTATCTACGACATCCTTGGCTGACACATTGTAATTATATGAGTATAAAATACCTTCATGACTACCCACTATGTTCCAGTGAGACACCCCTTGATCATACTTTCACGTCTAACATACCTGCTTATATATGCATACATGCTTACCCATTTGGGGTTTATGCGTTCTCTCATCGGCATCTAATGTTCTTCTACTTACCTGCCTCTCATCCTTAGTCGCTATCGCGTGCGTGCGGACGTGCGTGATTGCGTACGTGAATGCGTGCGTGCATGTGTGATTGCATCCTGATTGCATGCATGCCTGAGTGCGCGATTGCATGCGTGCGTGCGTGCGTGTGTGCGTGCGTGTCATTGTGTATATGCTGCAACTCTACTCGGCTCACGATTATCTTCTTGCTCTTAGCCAGCGCAAAATTACTCGGCTAAAATCGATGTAATTAACTCTTAAAGGGAGAGTTTACTCTAGGTTCTAGGATTATTTTCAGCTAATTTAGGTTATAATTACGCTACATGAAAAGTTTCATGGTTCAATCACCATTAGAAATTTTTTTTTTTTATGTTTTAAAACTAACGACTAAAGTTTGATTACAACGACGGTGGCGCCACTCAAAGCGCACGATCTGATAAGTTGCGCAAAACCACCTTCTAGCCAAGGGTTTTTTTTATTATGTTTTTTATTATTTTTATCGTTTTTTTAATTATGTGAACATAAAGATTTCCATTTAAAACATAAGACCGAGAGTGTTTCTTATTTATTCATTTAAAAGCAAAAGGATTGTAATATCTTATAAACGACATATAGTTTCAGTTATAATATGGATAAATTTGCCCTAAAATGAATATCGTTCGGTTAAATAGCATTTAGGTAATAAATTTAATTGCACTTTTGTGATTAGCCCTTGGTCTGTAACGTGCAAAATAAATTGTCAAATACGCAACTTTTTCGGGGTGGCAGCACGGTCGCGGGTGTCATGGCGCCGTTCAAATTTCGTAGCGTTGATGTGTAATTAATTATAACAATTAAATTAGGTATCTGGTGACAAATACATGTGGGTATAGACGATTTCTTATACAGTAAGTACAGTTGTATGCAATAAAAACCTAGAGGTTACTGTCCCTTTAATTTTACTGGAAACAAGACTGAAAGCTTGACTCTATCTAATCCAGTCTTTCATAGCTTGACAAACTAACAAGGGCATCTACGAACGTTTGTAGCAAACTATAAGTCCACCATTCGCTACTTTTCTTACATGGTCATCGTTTTGAAATGACTCGGTCGTCCGCGCTAATTTACAAGGTGCGCTTGATCTTTAGAAAGTAATGGGATATGATTCATCTTTATCATTTCTAAACCAGCTATCGAGAGGTCTTCATCATGATTATGAAATTCGATTAGCTTACCGTACGTCACACCTGATCTTGGGCGTCCTCATTTGCACTGCATTTGCGTAAGCTGCATCACACGCAAATATCCCGCTCGCATTTTATGGTCGGATGCGATTAATGTACGCAGACGATACCCTTACGGACTACGTGCCCGTGAGAAGCTGTGGCCCAAATTCGTTTATTCGTTTGCTACATCAGTGCATGATTGGTATTGACATAATTATAATTCACGCGAGGATTATTAATTATAATTATCGTAGCTTCGTTCTCGAGCTTCGCTTCGTGAGTGTCGAATGCGAGTAGCAGAAGTAGCGAGATAGACCCGTGCATTATTTGCAATATAGATAATAATATATGCAATATTTATTTACCCGTCAGACTTAGGAGATCGAGGGTCGTAAACGCGTGCAGTGTTCACGAATAACGGCGAATTCTCCCCTATATATATATCAGGAGTGTTTTAATATAGACAGTCTATATTACGTGTCTATATACATATTGTGTCCATATTATCAGGAGTGTATAATTATAAGGATAAGAATCTCTATATAATACACTCCTGATATTATGACACTGCTGATAGTATAGCGCTTGTAGCTTGTAAGTGTGAATGGCATGTTTGTGCGAAGAGTGAGCGCGAGAGAGCTCCTTCGAGGTACTTGCATGGCGTTGCACTCGTGCCACGAATTCGCATATCGTTGCAATTACAACGATCGGAATCAGCGGGTGCCATACGCTACACTGTCTCCTTAGATCTATGTGGCTTCTTCGTCGCAGTATCTTGTGTCAGTAATCAAATGAATCCTTTCACTGAGAGGTATACCGTGAGATTGCATCCACCGCGTAGACTTGCGCGTGTTTATTTCCTCTGCGCTTTGATCTGAGTAGGGAAAAAAGAAGATACTTGCTCTAACGCGCCTACGCACTCACCAATGGTCACTGTGCCGCTACTACCTGAAATTTACACGCATGCGCAATTGTATGTGGCCCCCGTGACTTCGATCGTTCCTCCTTGCCCGATTACACTCACCCACCCCACTCCATTACATTACATTCGGTCGTGATTCGCCACGCCCATGTTCACCCTACTCTATCCAGCGTGTAGCAATGTGATGCAGCAGGCACCGAACTAGCTCTAGGACCAGAGCGAAGGGCTATAATTATAGAGCTAGTACCGAACGTGCACCGACTCACCTCACGCCAACCCCACCCATCATTGTACACCCCATCGTCGTATGCGCAGCTCGCTCAAGGAGGCTATCGAAGCGTTGTCGACACCGCGTAGTACGCGCGCAGCGGTCGTGGGCGTCATAAGCAGTCATAGCGTGTAGTCGCTCACATCTGCTTCGCGGTCACCAATACTGTCGGAGTGATTAATGCCGAGTTACCAGCTGCGACACGTCTGTAGGCGATACCAGTTATTAGCACCTGCGCGTGCGGACGTGCGTCTGTCTGTTCCTGCTGATCGGTATGTGAGTTTTTCCCCTCGAATTTCTTCACTTTTAGTATTTCTAGTAATTTTTCTAAGTAATCTAAACACACTGAGGAAAAGGAGAGACAGCGACGATGGTGACAGGACAATGACGCCAAGACATGACAGGTGGCGCGGGTGATAGCTACGACATAGTTAATCTAACATTAGAGATGTTTGCATGAGTTAGTGGATTTAGATGGTTTAGTGTTGCATGATGAGTGGAGCACTATGTGCCTGTGATTGCAGTGTGTTCTTCTTACATGTCCAAAGCGGTCAGCTTACATTGAGTGTATGGCCATGACTTACATCGGCCTAAACTTCGGCCTAAACATCGGCCTATTATTAATTATTAATAGTTAAAAGAAGCACACTTTTGCGCTCATTAGACAAAACATCAAGGCCAATATCTTCCTCACGTGCGTATTTACATGAGCAGAGTGTATGGCCTATATTGATTAAATTTTTCTGTATAATTTAGCGGCGTATTCATTAACATATTAATTATTAAATATTACGTTGTTATGGAATCCTCCTCTTCGTTACGTAGCTGCATGGTGCGTTTGTCTTGCTAATGCTGGAAATGCCGGCAATATTGAGCTGTCATGACAAAAACTAGCAGGGGTGAAGTTCTAGAATCGATGGCAAAGGGCATATGACACCAGTGGCGTAGCCAGGATTTTTTAACAGGGGGGGGGGGGGCAAAAACAGCGAACTGTGCAAAATGGTGGATGACTTAATATTTTAATGGTTCCTCCGCTTCCCTCTCCACACCCTACGTTCCCCCACCTCTCAGCTCAGCAATCTTTGTTTCAGGCGCCATGCATAAAGACAACATTTTTGTTCGTTGTTCTCTGCTACCAAGATATATAAACGGAGGGGGTGAAAAACAGGCGGGGGGGGGTATGGGGGTCCTCCCCCAGAAAAATGTTGATCGCAGGAGTTGGTATTTGAGGCACTTTTGAGTACATGTACAGCCTTCATTCTGACTAGGACAATTCTCTTTTTAGTAGAACAATTCTTTTTTTCTTTTTCTTTTTACGTTCGGATCAACAGGGGGGGCATGGCTCCCTTTGGCCCCCCCCCCCTAACTACGCCACTCTATGACACGACGCGAGGTCGATGTTATTTTCTAACACATGTGGCAATCCCGCAAAAAAACACCAGAAAAATCTATATATTCGAGCATTTTCGCCGTTGTAGTCTGTGTAATATTCGTACTGGCAATAAATCAAAGCGAGGCAATATCGCAGCTACACAACTGTGATCATTTGCGTCGAAGCTGACATGCAGGCCGCCGCATACTGCGCAGCCGTAACCGCCGCCTCACAACTCCCCCTACCCTCGTAATAACATGTACTATGGTAGTAGGGATACTATGACAGACTCGACAGACATGGCCGCCCGCGACAACTACAAGGTGTGCATCTTCATGGGATCGGTGAGGCATCGGCGACTCTGTGATCGAGTAACGGTCTTCGTGCGAGAGCTGTTGGAGAACACCGGCCACGAAGTGATTATCATGGGTAAGAGCACTAGCTGCGTCAGACGTAGCTCTAGAACTATAGCCATTCGCTCCGACACAGGCGCCGTGGTCCTGTGACGGAGCGAAAGGCTATGGTTCTAGAGCTGCATGCGTCAGATGTGACGCGACGAACGCGAGTCCGCGTGAGAATCTCGCTGGTTATTGGAATTCCGATTTATCGAATCCGAAAAGTATTCGTAGCCGCGAATGTCGCTCGTCCTCGAACACATCGCGCCTTTGCCCGTTAGCATCCGTGTACGTGACGTCCGTGTGCAGGTGTTCCATTAGCGAGTTGAAGATCGTTTGCCCATTACAATGCTGCGGTGATGTGCCGCTACGCTCTTCACCGTTCCTCCGGTAGTAGCGCTTTGAACGTATACCTTTGGTCAAGATAGCGTAATGAAATCTTGCTGTACCGAGGACTTTCTTCCTGTAGTATATAGCACGGGCACACGTGTGCCCTCTCGAGTATAATATGCCATGCGTGCTCTGTCTATGTATCAGCCATCGATCCTCTTGAGATGCAGGTAAAATAAACGCGTGAAAAAATAAAAGGTGAAAACGCGATGAAGATAAGATAAGATA